AGTGACATGCATTATGATCCCCTCAAAATGCTGGCCAGCATCAGGAGGCCGAAGCTCCAGGGCGGCCCTGCTCCCCAAGGGGAAACCAGCCTCCTCTGCAGTGGATGCTGGTCCTAGGCTGGGGTGGTCAGGGCAGTTTCCAGTACTTTCAGTTTATAATGGTTTGTTGGGACCTGAGCCCATTGGCAGCCAAGGAACATCTGTATCCCTTTTCTGGGTTGTCCTGGAAGAGAAGAGCCAACCTCTGATGTGTTTGCCCTACCTTTGGGGGTTCATACCATATCTCCCCCAAAATAAGACCAACTGTTAAATTAATTTTTACAACAAAAGACTCAGCAGGCTTATTTTCAGGTGATGTCTTATTTTTTCAGGTACAAAAACCTACATTCATATACAACAATCTACATCTCTTCTTGTACAAAAATCTATATTCTTTTTAAAAAAATCTACATTTATTAAAATGTAATCATGCCATCTTGTAGAACATTGTCATAGCTCTCCAAAACCTGAACTCCAGGCTGAATGCCTCACGACGCCATCTCCTCTGTGGGCCCCGATCTCCCCTGTCCAGCAGCGCAGCTCTCCTTATAAGAGCACCGCTTGGCCTCATAGCCTACTTACAGTACACGGACAGCACAGCTGCCAGTGGTTTTTATCCCATGAATTCTTCACCAAGCCATGACCTCATGCAGGCCGGGCTTCACATAGTTGCCATTAAATCAACTGTTAGTGGAAGAATTAGGAGACAGGCATGGCAACAAAAAATGGTGAGAGGAATGGTGGTCCACACAATAGTGGCAATAAATTGTAGGCAGCAAAATTCAGAAAATGTTTATTTCACACACGTGCACTAATTATGTCCATTACAGCACAAGATGTAATTTAATAATGATCACATTTGACACAACCACGTCTGTTCGTTATCAAGCGTGCCTTTTATTCATGGGGTGTGTGTGTGTGTGTGTGTGTGTGTGTGTGTGTCAGAGCACGTGCATGCATGCTCAGATTGGTCATTTGGTAGTAAGTCTTGAGTTCATCTATTTATATATGTGTTTACCTCTTATCCAGAAGTGCCCACTTTGGGTATTTAAAAATACTTAATACTTTAATTAATGACAGTGGGCTTTTCTTACACTTAATTATACAGTAATATTAGCATTGAAGATAAGCATTGTATGTTGCAAAAGACGTTCTAAATGTGTCTGTCCCCCTTCACGGGCTTCTCTGGGGCACAGGTCTCGGTCTTATTTTGGGGGAGAAATGACAGTACCAGCCGATGCGGTGGTCAGCATCTGGTGGGTACGTTGCATGATCAAGCAAAGCAGGCGCAACTTCACTCCTCAGAGGTCTGCCTCGGAAGTTCTGGGTTCCTTTGAGACCTTAGTGCTTCCCTTAAAACAACCTGGAGAAAGAGTGGACTTGACTGAAAACATGAAATCTACTTCATAGCTTCTAGAAGTACAAAGTATTGTAAAATTGTTTTTTCTGGAACATCATCATGCTAACCCTTCTCTAAGAATAGAGAAAGTGACTGACCGCCTGGAAGCCCTCGTCGACCCCTTTGACCTCGATGTGTTCACGCCGTACCTCAACAGCAACCTCAGTCTCCTGGTGCAGCGCACCTCTGTAAGTCGCCTCAGAACACCCTCGGTGTGAACGAGCCGCTGCAGGCTCACAGTGCCCAGCAAGCCTGCTCTGTGCTCAGTGCTCCAGGGTGCAGTGGCAGAGGGACGAGATGCAGTCACACACACTGGGGCACTGGGGCGGCAGTGTTCTGAGTTCTTACATTGTGGGTAAGGATTAATCAGCTTGCACAAACCTCAGAACGAGAACAACATGGCCGTGAGATTGCATGCGTGAAAGAAAGTAATTCTGAAATATAAACACACTCGAGAACAGCTGCTAAAATGACGGTTAGATGAAGCGGTGGTGCTTACTCAGAGAGGTGATTTTCTTTTTGACCCAAACAGTAAAATCCTGCATTTTCCTCTGTTCGCTCTTGGATATCAGGTTCTGTTCGGGCTGGTTACTGGGACAGAGAACCAGTTCACACCCCGGAGCAGCACATTCAACTCCCAGGAAGCCCACAACATACTGCCGCTGGCGTCGAGTCAGATCAGGTGAGCCAGGCCTGAGAAGGGTCACCGGGCCCCACGGCTGCCCTTCCTGCCGCTGACATTCTTCCCTCGTCTTGGAGGTTTGGGCTGCTTCCACTGAGCATGACGGGCACGCGGAAGGCAAAGTCAACCAGCAGAGGCGTTGAAACCAAAGCGCAGGTCAGTGCCCAGAGGCTCTTCCCTGCTGGTCCTGGTCCTCCTGACCTAGTCTGCACTAAATGCTTTTAGTGGCAGTGCAGTAAAGAAATACAAGGTTTTACTAGTTTGAGCCAGTAGATCTAACATGTCCCCACTGACAACCAAGCAGCCGTATGATAGTGCTGTGTCGTCGACTGCAAGGCTGTCGAAAATGTGCAAACCGAGTGAAGGTGGTTGCTGGAGTAGAGTCCTGGGGACCTGCCAACCGGCCTAGCTGCAGTGTGGAGAGCACCCTTTGTCCTGGATGCCTTTTAGTTGGGTGGGAAATGAGTTTGTTTCCTCCATATCTGTTTTCCTCTTTTTTTTTTTTTTTCTTTTTTTCATTTTCCTCTTAATACACACTTTGTTTCAGTAGGATGCCATCCATTAAGCATGAAGAATCGTCCTCGGTATTTCTGAACTCTGCTGTGTGCATGTGTGTTTGGGAGCTCAGCTTGGCTTCTTAAGCATTCCGTTGTTGTTTCTTTTATTGTTGGACAAAATATTAGTAACCCGTCCTTTCCATATGGTCTGCCATTAAAATGCAAAACTCTTGTCAAACATCTAGCTTTAAGTTGGGGAGACAGTTTAAAGAAAAGCTCTTGCCCAAGCCCTGCGCTCCAGAGCAGGCGTGTGCTGTGCATTTCCCCACAGCACTCGTGTCTGCCTCCTGCTGTTGGCCTCTGTGTCCTGTCCCTGTTAGAGGAGCAGACTGTGGAAAGGAGGTGCATAGGGTCACGCTTTCTGGAACAGTTTTCGTTCTCGAGTCTCATCAGATTATAAAGCCTTATGCTGTCCCCACATCCTTTACAGCCCTGACAACAGCAGAGGCCTCTCCCGAGAGCCATGCAACCCTCAGCTCTGCTGTGTGCAGCGTGGCTTCCGATGGGGGCATGGTGTGCGGTGCAGGGTGAGCGGGCGGGGAGCAGGCAGAGGCTGCAGGCGGCCTCTAAGGCACATCCTCTACATCCAATGGCAGGTTGCTCCCCCAGCACTCTCCAGGGCAGGGGACTGCACGCAGCCCGGCTCCCTCTTCAGACAGCTCGCCAGTGAGGAAGACGAAACATCGGCACCTTCGCTCTTCAGGCTCAGCTGGCTCTCAAGTATGACAAAATAACACAGGAGCGCGCCCATCTCCCTAAATAAATGCCACTGCGTTGTTTCTCTGGAAGGTGTCTCTGCTCAGTTATTTCTAAGCGATCTCATTCCACAGTCAGTGATGGAATGTGGTCCCCTCTGTCCTGTTAAGGGTGACTTTCCACAAAGCTAATCCTCACCCAGTAGTTCCGTTGTTTGGTACTGAGGACATCAGTTCAGCTAGCTCCTGTGTCAACATTTATCTATGCCTTAGCTGTTGACACTGTATATCTTAGTCTTTTCTAATTGCTAGGACAAAATGCCTGACAGCCAAGGCTAAAGGAGGAAAGGTTTATTTTGGCTTACGGTGGTAGATGTTTGCATTCATAATCTGCTGGCTCCACGGCAGGGTGGCAGGCGGAGGACAGCAAAGGCAAGCAGGCAAGTGGTGAGTGACCAGCTGTAAGTGAGACATGGCGCGCTGCCCTCTTCCTGTCATCCATCTTTATCTCCCTTAAGTTTTATATCCCTTACTTTTATCCACAGCCCTAGAAGCACACATCCTTGATGCCCGCAGCACACTGGGTGTAGCTACCATGGAGAAGCCATGCTTAGGACCAGGTAAGGCTCTGGGGTATATCCAGACACAAGCCAGGTTAGTTTGTGCCAGGTTTCCCAAACTCATGTGTATGCCTTTATGCAAAAGGCATTTAGTCATTTCCAAAAGTTCCCAAAGTCTAAGCAGTTTCAGCATTTTTGAAAAGTCCAAAGTCTTGAGATTTAAGGCAAACTCATAGCTGTGAGTCCCTGTAAAAATGGAAAGATAGTTAACATTTCTACCATACAGTGGGACACAGAGGTACTTCATTTCAAAAGGCATGAAGAGTGGGATAGGAACAGGGAGGAACAAAACAAGTCTAAAACCCAGCATGGGAAACAGTCCTTCAGCTCCACGTCCGGCATCCAAAGCGATCTGTGGCAAGGTGTGAACCTCAAAGAGCTTTGGCGGTTCCACGTCTGCTGTATTGCTGGTGGGCTTAGCTCTCATGGCTTCTCTTGGGTGGGCTCTGCTCCCCCTGCAGTGTTCCTGAGAAGATCTGCATTTCTGGTTTCTCCAAACGCCTGGGGTCGCCACTGCACCGTTCTTCACCTTCAGTTTCACACATGCCTTTGGGCCTACTGCCTGGCTGCTCAGGCCTCGTGAAAGCTGAGTGGAGGCTTCCCCATCTCACAATTTTACACTCTTCATACACTAAATCCAGCATCACGTGGATGATGCCAAGGTCTGCTGCCAGCTGCAGCAGTAGCCAGGCTTCCATTTCTCTTGGCTGTAGATAGAGCATGCCTATGAGCCAACCCCAAGGAACAGCTTCCCATGCTGCCACCCTTCTGGAACACACTTCTCTGCAGCTGTCTTCTCGAAGCAGTCTTCAACTTTTGCAGTTCTGAGTCCACAATGGGTAGAGTCCTGCTTGTGATGTCCTTGGGCCATCTTTTCTATTGTTCCCTTCTGAAATATTTGGCTTCTTCTTGGCAATCTTTTCAGGGAACAGTTTGCTGTTCCATTTTCATAGGCTGTAAATTTACTACAGCTCCCTTTCTAGCCAAATTCAAAACATTTTACACCATTCTGTTGGGCTCTTTGCTCTTGATTCTCAACATAAAATCCCCAACAGTAGGCATGACACTGCCTGAGCATCAGACTGTTACGAAACATTCTTGCTTGATGAATTAGTCTGCCACCCTTATTCTTGGTCCCAGGCAATTTCGGGGCTCCTGCAGGTCGCAAAGTCTGAGGGAGCCTCCAGGTGATCACACAAAAGCAGTTAAAACAGATGTGCGTTTTCCTGGCTCCAGAAAGCCAGGATGGAGGCCCACGCCTCACTTGGCCCCAGCCCTTCCCAGCCTGTACCCCACTCCCGTCTCAGCCTGCTCATCAAACACCCAGCACCCTGCTGAGCTCATCTCAAAAACTGATCTCAGCCCTTCCTCAAGGATTACGTATATCTTCTTTACCCTCACAGGGTTGGCCCCTGACCTCCTAGCTCGTCATATAAACTCCTTCTCCTACAGCCTGAAGACACTCATACCTCAGTCTTTGCTTAACCCAGGGAGCATCAGAGGCATGTCACATGTTGTGCAGCATGCAGGTCAGCCGGATCTTGAAGGAAGAGGCTTAAATTCATGGCTTCTTCCTTTTGTAGATGCTGGGTCACGCAGTAGTAGGCATTCCTATTCCCTGAGCACAGGAAGCCACAGTACCTCATAGTAGCAGAGGGAGAGGAATGGTCCTCAGGCACCAGGTTCTATGCTGAATGGTATCAATGTCCTGGGAACCTGGTGCTGCACATTTCCTCCCAGTTCTAGGACCCCGCTTCAGAACACTCAGCCATCTGACAGCAGCCAACAAGGTCTCTATGTCCCCATTTCTCTGTGCCCTAGAGAAGGGCAGTGTCTTGGTTAAGAGGCTTTGGAATCTCAGGGTGCTTAATTAAGACTCTAACATGAGGCTTTTGATACAGGGCTTTGTGTATTTGGCCAGGTTACCTGTATTGTTTGAGCTCCACTTCCTCATCTGTCCAACAATGATAAGACAGACAAGACTATGTTTCCATGGGTTGCTGGGTTAAGTGACAGGAGGGTATAAATGCCAAGCCAGGAGTGTGTGTTTGGTCACAGAGGCTGATCATCCTGGCTGTCACAGGCAAGAAGGCCACACTGGATAGTCTAGAAACAGGGCCACCACCAAGGATCTGAACTGAAGTTCCACTTTTTTGCTTATGCC